ATGACAGGATTATTAATTAATCAATAAAGTCTCGCATTTTATGCTTGTTTGCAGTAAAAAAAAAAAAAAAAAAAAAACAATTACTGAATAATTAATTAATAAATAATTAGTGAAAAATAAGCAAATAATTAATAAATAACTAGTGAATAATTATTTCAAATTTTATATTTTTTATGTTTTTAATAAATTTATCAAGTATTAATTAAATTTTGTCAAATATTATTATAAATGTAAATTTTTTATTGAAAATATACAACTTGATTTTACCAAAGTATATAATGCTAAATGATTTTGTTAATTTTATAGTTAAATAATAATAATTTATTCCAAATACTATAATTTTTATTACAGAATATTGTAACTTTATTGCTGAATATTTTTTAACTAGAAATATTTTTTTATCAAATGATTTTATTACCAAATGATTTTTTGTCAAATAATTTTATTGCCAAATGATTTTATTGCCAAATGATTATTTTTTGCCAAAATATTATATTTTTTTTATCAAATTATTATATATTTTTTAAGTACTGAATAGTATAAATTGGACTAAATAATAAAACTTTGATATAAACTTTATTAATAAATTTAAATTTAATCAATTATAATTTGACAACTGAATAATTTAATTTGAACTAATGTTAAAGAATCATTATTATATTGGGATGAAATCTCTAATTAAAGGTTAAGCAAATTTGAGAGTCTTGTTTATTCTTTGATTGTATAAAAAAAGACCCATAGCAATCTTCCTTATTAACTTTGTTTTTATGCATCTTTTTTTTTATTACTATTATAATAATTATCCTCCTTATTATTCTTAACATTGCTAATTTTTTTTTAAAAATACATTCAAATAAAGTTTTGAATTCTCTTACTTGTCTTAACCAAATCTTTTTAAACAATTTAAATATAGTATGTTTTATTGCACTACTTTAACAATATTAAAAATTTTTTCAAAATTAAAAACCAAAACCAGCTCAACCATTTCAAATAATTTATATAATCTCAATAACTAATCCAATTTTGACATTTCAATTAAACAAAAACCAAACTAATATTAATTTGTTAGAAATGATAACAACAATAATATTATACAAATACTTATTAAATCAAGACTAATTTTCTGAAAATTTTTTATATTGCTAAGAAAAATATTTTCACCAGTTCTAATTTAGCTGTTTTTAATCAGGTATAAGCTATTTATGAATTACTTTTACTGTAGTTTTACCCATGTGATATTTTTATTATTTTAGAAATTTTTTATGCAATAAGTTAATATTAACTTAAATGAATACCTAATATAATAACAGAATTATTAATCATATGATAAAATTGGTTAGTAAATAACTAAAAATCATATTTAATTTAAAATTATATTATTAATTAAAAAAATTTTTATAATAATATAATTATATACTATATATAATTTAAAATATTTTTTAATTATAATAAAAAAAAAAGGTTTAATTTTAAAATTTATTTAATTTATTAAATATAATATGATTAAAATAAAATTTTTTAATATTTAAAAAATTATTTAATTTAACGGGATTGGTTAATATTTTATAAAATTTGATATTTTTTTTTTTGATTTTATCGTAAATTTTATTACTTGTTTTTTTTAGTAAAAAATCATAATTATTTATATATTTAAATAAAAAAAGTTTATATTCTTTTTTTAAAAAATTTTGTAATTTGTTTAAAATTATATATATATATTATTTTTATATAAAGCAAAAGTAATTTAAAATTTTTTTATTTACGTGTATATCTATTTATAAATTATTATTTTTAAAAGCATTATAATTTCTTGAAACTTTTATTAAAAAGTAAAATAATATTTTCTATTTTTAAAAAAATAGTTTGATATATAAAAAAATCAATAAAATTAAAATACGAGACAAATAAATTCATTTATAATTTATAATTAAAATTTAATTTGATTATAATTAATAATTAATAATAATAATAGTAAGTTAATAGAATAGTATATTATATATATATATATTTGAAATATAATTTTCGTAATTATATTTTCTATTTCTAATTTATAATGTAATCAAAAATGGGTTAACTTGTGTGATAATATCATTGATTAGATTTTTGGCAATTTATTATAAAGCTTCCAATCAATATTTTAATATTTATAAAATTTTGACATTTAGTATTAATGAATATTAATATCAATTACAACAATTGTTCGCGGAATGGTATTTTCGATTAAAGTTTGGTTAACTCCAAACAACTGGCCGATTGCATGGCCTGCGTTTTTTTGTCAATGTAGACGCTTTCTTTCTTGACATCATTTGGAGGGGTTGATATCCTTTGATCAAAACCGTCCATATTAATTTCAGTATCGATTGATGAAGTGATGTCTCCTATTAGTAATTATATCTCACACACGCATATTTATGTTTTCATTCACAAGTATGGTCTCAATGGACATTGTATTCTTATTGAAATTTCTGGACACGAAGCCTTCTTTCCAGTATCACCTAATTATTAATCAATGGTAAGTGGAAAAAAGAAACGTTTTTGGACCAAGTATTAAAAAACACAAACCTCGATTTGAAATACATTACATTAGGTGTTTCATGCAGCATTACTAATTGAGTGAGAATAGATTAACCTGAAAATTTGATTCAATCTTTGTTCCCGAATCTGGGTTCAGTGATTATTTGAGAATTTTTTCCATTGCACTTAGGCCCTGATGAATTGACTGTGCACTATCTAATACAACATATCATCCATGTTCGGTTCATTGCAATCGAAGTCGATTATCTCTATTTGAATGAAGGTGAACACATAAATGATTAAATAAAGAATTTTAATCTGTTTAATACAAAATTCATTACTAGGAAATACAGACATTCGTAAAATCTAAATCGTATCTTTATTATGAACCGCTAAACATATACTTTAGTAACGTTTTTTTTTTGAGTGGAGTCCAAATTCATCTGTATCGACTGTATTCACAAAAAATGTCACCGTCAGTGATTTCGCTGTTACCACACAAACTAATAAATAATTATAATTTCATTAGACAAAAGTGATTAAAAGCCTCAACGTTTTCATCACAAATAATGACATACATACACTCCGCAGAGAAATTGAAGGTCATCTTTCTCAACTTTCAGTCAGTCTAATAAATAAGTTCACCAAATTCTTTCGTTTTTCATAAATATAAATGATCAGGTTCCATGTATGTCACTGGTGGGGACCAAAGTCATTTTCCTACATGGAACGAACGGTAACTTGACATTAAAATATTTAATATTATTGTAAAGCTCGAATTTCACCATAATTATATTATACACTTACAAGTAGTTCACGAATAAAAAATTTCGTCATATATTCCTATGACCAAGATCTTTTTTTGCATTTCAAATTGATAAATTAATTGACGGGTTTAGCGTAATCTGGATGTCATACGACGGCCTTATAAAACGTCTTTAAACTCTGAGATTTATAATCACTCAATGAATTTATGATTATTAATAAAAGCAATCTAGTCCATAGCCTTTTATTTAATTTACCGTTACGATAACATCACTCCACACCTTCCAATATCGAATATGTTCGTGATTAAAGTTTTAGGCCCCAATTTACCATTAGGGTGCGTCCGTGCTATTTAGGGTGCCCCACAGTGTTGGACTTTCGGTTTGGAACAAGTATTGTATATCGTTCTCATGGATGTTGGTTAAGTAGTGATGATCAAGAAAATTGCGTCAAAAGTCCGATCGATGTAGTGCTCCTAAAATCATAATTAAATGAGGAGATATATCGACAAACAACATTTTTATAACTCTTACACAGGACATACCAGAGCAAGTTTAATTTAACTCGGAATATTCTATTCGTGTAGGTTGTCACGGAAGTCAAGCCGAACTTTGAATGAGGTATTTACATGCCGGCATTAAATTTAAATAAATGCCTTTGGGTAAAACTTGTCAAGACTTTTAAGCGAGGAATTGCGTTGAGGTAAATTTATTATTGACGGGTTTTAATATCATTTTAATGCCTGATCGTTGGGTTATTCGTTTTTAGAATTCGCTTGAAATTCTGAGTTTGCTTTGTCATTCCTCTATAATTTCCGTAGTTTTCAGTGATAAGGCGGATCTTTAAAAAAAACATGATTATGAGAAATAGATATCAGATATGATTCATTAAATTCGTACTTCCAAATCAATTGGTCCAGGTATTATTTATTTAATGATATTAATTGATGGCAAATGCTTTTTTGTGGTAGTACGCGGTGTTACTAAGCAACAAATGAAATCGCGTCGCGTTTTTTTAAGTTGTTTATCTCATCAATTATTCTAAATTATTAATTGCTATAATCAGAATCAGTCACCTGATCATTTTGACGCGTAAACCCGGTGTTTTCATTGGCATTTCGACGCGACAAGATCAGGAATCACAACAAGTAAAATTCTTATATAAACCCCCGTCATCTTCCTACATTCCATTTCAAAAATTTCTCCGCCTAACGAATATTTTGCTTATCTGCTGTCGGCTTCACTTTTAAAAAAACTTCTCCATTTAGTTTAACAACCCTTGCTTTAAAAAAAAACAACAAATCATTTGCAATGGCTCGTACGAAACAAACAGCCCGTAAATCAACTGGTGGTAAAGCCCCACGCAAACAACTTGCTACCAAAGCTGCTAGCAAGAGTGCTCCGGCCGCTGGCGGTGTAAAGAAACCTCATCGTTATAGACCCGGTACCGTTGCCCTCCGT